ATATTCAGTGCTTCATATGCAGCAGACACAGCTAAATCCTTCATCTTTAAGCTCCTGGCAATCTTGTGGGCTGGATATTATTATTTCCATTTTGCAAATAAGGAAACAGTATCAGAAGGGATGAGTATCTCACCCAAGATCACAAAATCGATACGTGGTGGGGGGATTTGAACTCAGATCTGTGTGGGTCCGGAACTCATGCTCTTTCTGTGACACCAGTGTGTGATAGAGAAGCATAAAGATTGCACCGGGTATCAGGGGACCTTGAGCAAAGTCATGTAAACTTTTTGAGCCTCACTGGTCCGGAACTCATGCTCTTTCTGTGACACCAGTGTGTGATAGAGAAGCATAAAGATTGCACTGGGTATCAGGGGACCTTGAGCAAAGTCATGTAAACTTTCTGAGCCTCACTTTTTTCATTTGCAAAAGAAACAGGTTGAACTTGATAGTCTCTAAGACCCTATCTTAACTAGATTTTATTTACGGAAGGATAATTGAAAATTCAAAAGCAAGCTTGCTGGAAAGAACTCTGCTTGATGGCTGCTGTTGTGAGACTACAATAACACAACTGCGAATATTCCTAGAACACAGGAAAAGGCCTAATTTATTTAATTCCATTCTGAACCTGTGTTGTTGGAACTTTTTGAAGAAGCTGAGATTCTCCTCTGTAAGTGCTCTGTGCCTCAAATTTCTAGGGTTATTTGGTCCGAAGTTCATAGCATATTTGTGTACACTTGGCTCGAGCACCCTGAGCTTCGAGTTGTTTAAAGTCTGTCCAACAGAATGGCACTGGCTGTCTGGCGCAGATGCTGGGAGGGCGGGCTGGCTTCCCTGACTCTGTAAATAAATCCCTGCTCTCCTTAGCAGCCACCTATGACTGTCCTTCTATCTGTCCAAGCCCTTTCTGAAACCAGACCTTTATTTCTTCTTTACAAACCATTGTCTCTTGGAGGAAGGAATTCCCTAAGTTTATTGTCTGGTGTGTCATTCCCTTCCCACCCCTCGTAGTGGGGTTCCCGCTTTCCCCACTTTCCGCCTCAGTCTTCCTGCTTCCTAGGCCGCTTTGTAACTCAAGAAATGAGATTTTTCAGTTGTCACGGGCTCCACCTCCCCATCCCTGTTGGTCGCTCAAGGCACTGTTGTTCTTTTGGGGAATCTGAGCTCTGAGCTCCAAAACTGATCCCTCTACCACCTACTCAGGTTTTACCTGTAAAATTAGGATACCTCGTATTGCAGACTAGGTTGGCATAACTTGGTCATGAAAAATTCCACACTCCAGACTTCTTTCTTTCAGATCCAGCAGAACTGAGCTTGTTATTCACTCGCTCTGCATTGTTTGTGGTCAAGAGGTGGAAAGTATCATCACCCAGGTTGACAGGGTAATGAGGTGGTTGGAGCATGTTACAGATGGCAACTTTTTACCTTTTATTCTTTACTTGGTTCTGTACCTGTGTTGGACTCCCTGCAAGTTGCCACTTGCTTTTTCAATTGCAGTAATGAGCAAGAAACCTCTAGCTAGCACTTCTCCATGTCATACTAGCAGTTAACTCCCATGTTATTGTACAGCAGGTGACGGTGGGCTGGGAGCCACAGCGAGGGGCTGAGGTTGTCAGGGAGGATGGGAGATGAGGAGACTCAGCCAGGGAGGGGCTGACTGTCAGAAATGATGTCCATACTGGGGTGTCAATACTGTTTAGACATGAATCTGGTCATGTGCAGATCTCAGAGGAAGTCTTATCCAGGGATGGGGTTATGTTAGAAGTTAAAGGTGCGGGCTTCGGTGAGGTTAACCAAAGCAGGGTCATCCAGGACTCTGCACCCAAGGATGAGGCTGGGAGTAAGAAATAGAGCCCAGCCCCGAGGGAATATGGCTGTAATGAAATAGGCAGGAGTTACTCAGGTTAAGACAGAGACATCTAGAAAGAAAGAGGAGGCCTCCTCAGGGGGGTGGGGACCTGCTACTGCCCTGGATCATCAGCTCTTGAGAAGGGAGCGGCCAAGTCAATTCCTAAATGCACTTGCACTGCCGCACCCTTGCACCGTCACACATGCCAGTTAGCGGGGCACAGGCTGCCAGCCACTGTCTGCTGGTTGGCTTGCAGGGAAGGGTCAGTTTAGCCAGCACCTGGAAAGGACTCTGCTTGTAGGGAAATTGCAGATGCGAGACTCTCTGCCAGGGTCAGGAGAGGGCAGAGACCAAGCTCCCTGTGCTCTGATATTAGATGTCCTTGTAAGGTTACCTCAGACATTCCCATTTGGCTCCAGTCATATTTTGAAATGTCTCCCTGCAGGGAGCTGCCCCTCATTCCAGAAGGGGCTGTCCTTTTTATCCTGCTGCCATTTGGAAAGACTTGGGCCCTCAGTGGCTGCCCAGTCCTCTGCGCCTGCAGAGCTTCTCACCCACTTCCCTTGTCTGCAGATTCTATGTTCTGTCTAAAATAGTGATATTGAAACTTATTTTCCCTGGGGGCTGAACACTTTTTTGCCTGCTCTTCAGCCCATCCCATAGAAACAGAAAGTTTGTCTTAGTCCGTTTTCTGCTGCTATAACAGAATGCCTGAGACTGGGTAATTTATAATGAACAGAAGTTTATTCAGCTCATGGTTCTGGAGCCTGGGAAGTCCAAGAGCATGGACCAGCATCTGGTGAGGGCCTTTGTGCTGCGTCATGCCCTGGCAGAAGGTGGAAGGGCAAGCAAGACAGAGAGAGGCCCCAGGGGCCAGACTCACTTTATAACAACCCATTCTCGTGATAATAACATTAGTCCATTAATGAGGGCTCTGCCTGCATGACCCAGTCACCTCTTATTAGGCTCCACTTCCCAGTACTGTTGCATTGGAGATTAAGTTTCCAACACAACCTTTGGGGGACACGTTCCAACATAGGAAGGTTTGAAAACCGAGACTAGAACAGAGAGTAAGAGATGAGGAGTTCTCACCTAACGCATGACTTTCATAAATCTTCATTCTCTGCATCAGAATGTGTGGAGGAAGAGGAAATGCTGTGTAGGAAGTTTCCTGATGTAGGACCCACATGCCATGGCAGGGTAAACAGAGTAGAGGCCAGCCTGCGTTCTCTTGGGGCAACAACATTACAAGACCTTTGCCTAGGGTTCCAGCTCACTTGGGCCAGCAGTTTAGGCCAGCCCTGCTCTTGTTCTACAGCAAAACAACCTGGAAGACATTTTGCTTCTCCCTGGGGCTCAGAGAGACATGTAACAGGCCTGGGGAAGCTTCTGACCAAGGCAGGGTCCCCAAATAAGCAACAGTGTTGCCTAAAGAGTTAGGAAGGCCCCTAACCCAGCCTCCTTTTCTAGTTTTTGAAACTGGTGATTTTTCATGCAGTGGCCAGGCTCTCTCTCTCTCTCAGAACCATTTCTGCTATTCTGTTGGGAGCACCAACTTTTAGAACTAAAGAATTTGGCTGGACCTGAATAATTGTCTAGAAAATAATAGTTGGGTTCCAAGTCAGGTGGATGAGGAAATAGAGAGCTGGGGAAGCTATTGAAAGGATAGAAATGTTCTGAGTGTGCCCTTGTTTGTTTCTCTACAGGTTTTGGATGGTTATCAAGGAGGATGGACACATGGTCACTGCCCGGCAGGAGCCGCACCTGGTGCTGGTCTCTGTCTCCCATGGGAACAACTGCCTGGTCCTCAGGGCTCCAGGCATGGATGAGCTGGTTTTGCCTAACAAGTTGCCTTCCTCAAACAAACTCCACAACTGCAGGTATTCTGCTTGGGGGCACCCAGGGAACTGCGTCAGACCTGTTTTCCTTCAGGCTTCTCCCTGCGTTCTGTCCTGCTACAGTTCATACAGTAGACAATGAAATTGATAAAGAGAATGTTTAAGAGAAGTGTAGTCTGGGTTGGGATTGGGCAAGTGCTCAGGTGTGACTGGGCAGTGCTGAGTATTGTTTCAAGGGTACTTAGGATTTGTTTAATCAGGTGTGGTAAGACACATAGACATGGAAATGGCTGCCATGAAAAAAGAAATTTTTAAACCTATACTCAGAGATCCCTAAAACAGGAGGCATGGCACACCACCCAGGTTCACACGTAGGATTTGTTTAATCAGGTGTGGTAAGACACATAGACATGGAAATGGCTGCCATGAAAAAAAAAATTTTTAAACCTATACTCAGAGATCCCTAAAACAGGAGGCATGGCACACCACCCAGGTTCACACGGGGAAGCACCGGAGTCATCAGGAGGCAGAGGGAATGGGGATAAAACGTGGGCAAGAGCCTTCACTGTGGTTTCTGCAGGAAAGGCAAGGCAAGGCAGGCAGGCAGGTGTGGGACTGGCTGGTTGGAATGATCTTAGCAGGTTCTGGGGCCCAGGGGTTGTCCCTAGTTGTCTGGCACCTACCCATGGGTGATTAGGGCAAGAGAATAGTGGCCCAGTGTGTAAAAACCTAATAAAGGAGGTGGTTGGGCCTGTGGGCTCTGGATGGGTTGGTGTTCATATGAAAGGCACGCTTGCAGGTGACTCATCTGGAAGGGGCAGTCCCTTTCGCACCAGCAAGGCCTCAAGACGTGAAAGCATCGAAAATACAGAAAACTAAAAGCATGATCAATACAGGTACAAAGAGGGTATAAGGTGCCAATCTTTAAGGCTTGTTTCCTTTTATTCAAGTTGGATGGACCTTTTTCTGAGAATTGTCAGCCCTCCAGCCAGACAGACAAAGGAGCTAGTGAAGACTTGACAACATTCATCTTGGGGCTGGGTGATGGGGATGCTGGAGCTTCTCAAGGCATCTCAGCCTCTGAGGGCTACAGGAGAGACTAAGGCACCTCTGGCAGGAGCTGGATGTGAGGGATTTCCACCTCTGGCCAGAGACCCACCTCAGACCTTGGCTTCCTTTCAATCTAGGGAACCCTGCTGTGCTGTCAAGTTCCATGGCTTGCTGGAGTCTTGCCTTCTGATATTAGGAAGTTCTAGAGACATAAATGTCTGTCATGGGACGTTCTGGATCCCTTTATAAACAACTGAGCTTATTAAGTGTGTGAAAATCAGTGTCGTCCGAAGGTCCCAGGCTTCAGAGGAGAGCCTCATCTTATGCTTTTTCAAGCAAAGTGTCTGAACTGAAATTCATCTCTCATGGTTCCCAGTTTTCCAAAGTCTGAAGCAATAGATCATTGAATACAATATTGCAGTTAATTATCTTAGTAAGCCTGTAAGATGGATATCATTAATTCTACTTTACAAATGAGGAAACCAAGACTCAGATCATTGTCACCACAAAGGCCGAGTTGGGATTTAACACCTTTCCCCCTCCAGACAGATCTCTAGGGAGACACCAACCATCCCTGGATGGGAAGAGGGAGAGGAGGACCTTGTTGGGGGAGGGGGAGGAGGGTCTGACAAAGGCACCAGGTGAAGCCTGTTCTTATGGAATTCTGTTCTACACATCAATTGTATTCCTGGATGAGGTGGGAATAGAAACCCTGGTAGTTTGGTAAAACCAACCACTGAGAGCTGTGCATTTAGATTGACACAGAGACGTCACCAGCACCCTGCCCTCTGCAGCTAGTTAGAGGTGCTAACTAGTTCGGCCTGCATTTATAAGCTATTTTTAATGGATTGGTTGCCATGGGAGCTGCTAAAAACTGAAGAAATGATATAAAGTGGAGGGTGCCTTAGCTCCAGCTGCTATCAGTGGCTTAAACATAGATAGTTATTTCTCATAGTTCGAGAGGCTGAGAAGTCCAGGATCAAGGTGCTGGTAGATTTGGTGCCTGACGAGCATCTGCTTTCTGGGTTGCTGATGGCCACCTTCTCTTTATGTCTTCATGTGACCTTTCTGGTTGGTGCGTGAGTAGAGATAGAGAGAGAGAAACAGAAAGGGGGTGAGCTCTGGTGTCTCTTCCTGTTCTTATAAAGATACTAATCCTTATAATCCTTATAAGGGCAAAGCCATCATGATCTCGTCTAAACCTAGTCACCTCCCAAAGGTCCCACCTCCAGATGCCATTACATTGGGGGTTAGAGTGTCAGCATGAATTCTGGGGAAACACAGACATTTAGCCCATAACAGATGGCAAGTCAACTTACAGTTCCGTTAAGGGTATATAGCTTTTTCAAATTCCTTTAGGGGAATCAAGCAAAAAAACCATGAAGACCACTACATATAACATTATCAGTGCCCACCATGTGGGGTAGGTAGGTACTATATTATTATCTCCAATTTACAATTGGAGACAGAAGGTGAGAGTGAGGTAGGACAGAATAGGGACACGCCCCAGGGAGGCTGCTCATAAATATTCAGACTGGATTGGCAATAGCAGTTAATGCAGTTAATAAACCCATAATGAGCTGACAACAGCTTAACCACCCTACCAATCAGCATGCTGCACCTGGAAGTTTGCAGATTACAAATACTGCCACACCTATGCACTAGAAGGAACAAAAGTGCCGACGACCACTATATGACCTTCCACCTGTGACGCTTGACCAGAAAGGCCCCTGTGCATAACCAAAAACTTCAGAAACTCAGGGATGCATGACAGGAAGCTGATGCAACCTTGCATTGGCCTATTAGGCCATAACTACCCTAGATCCTCCCCCACAGCTGAATATTCCTCCTCTTACTTAGGATAGAGAGACACCCCTGTCCCCAAACAGCATATAAGCTCTCCCTCTAAGAATCCAGGGGTGCTTCTCACTTGTGGGTGATGCCTACACACACTTCTGCATGTACTTTCACTTTGTAATAAAGCCCTATTGTTTGAGTGTTCCTCTGTCTGTCTTTCATTTTTCTTTCACTGAGCAGGTGCTCATGGAGATAAGGACTCCACTTGGTCCCATGAAAGAATTTTCTTCACGGTTTGACCAAGAACCTGGAACTGCCATCCATTAACAAGAGGAGTGAAATGATTTGCTTAAGGTCATGGAACTAGAGAATGGCAGAGTTCCAATTTGAACCAGATCTGTTAGAATCCAAGCTCAAGGTGTATCTGCTACATGGCAGCCCCTCTCCTCTTCTGAAAGTAGCCTAAATCCTTGCTATTCAAAGTGTGGTCCATGGACCAGCAGCTGAGTCATCTGGAAGCTTGTTAGGAATGCAGAATCCCAGGCTCCAACTTAGACCTACTGAAGTGGAATCTGCATTTGAACAAAATCCTGGATGACTTGCATGCACGTTAGGGTCTGGGAAGCTTTTCCATAGAGAACAGTCTACTCCCTTTCCCACCTGCTCTGCCCAGATATAACCCAAGGGCCACGTAATAGCTCTCTGTGATAGTCAAGTCCCAACAGTCCAGTTGTTCCATCTTTGACCCCATCTCCCAGTGTGTTGATTTAAGTAAGTAACCTGGTGTTCTCTTGTGTCCCTTCTAGGGTATTTGGTCTTGACATTAATGGCAGGGACTGTGGTGATGAGGCAGCTCAGTGGTTCAACAAATTCTTGAAAACAGAAATATTGAGGTTGGTTCAATTTGAAATGGACATGAAAGGAAGAGAATCAAGGAAAATTTTCCCTGCTTTTGTGCAAAATTACCAGGTGAGCTTTCAGAGAATCTACCTCACTTCTACCAGGGACCCTGCACTTTCTGCCTTCCTTCTCGGCCACAAAGGGCCTCTCTTGGGACTCCAGTTAGGAAATGTGGTAATGGCCCATGTGAATGGTACTGAGGGCACAATGTGGGCAGAGATGGAAAGAAAAGTGAGATCTTGGGGGTGTGTGGTGGGAGGAGCTGGGGTGACTTCCAGGTAGATGGAGACTCAGGAGAAAACTGGTGAGAGAAGCAAAAGTGAGAGGTTTTTTGGGACGAAATCTAAGTTTCCTGAAATTACAGAAGCAGACTTTCTAGGCCCTGCCTCCACAGTCTGTGCGGTATGGTGATTTCAGGTGTCGGGAAAGCACCTCCTCCTAAGGAAAACTGTCCTCTCTGCCAGTCACAGCACAAAGACCAAAATCTCAGTTGATCTGCAGTGAGCTAAGTTTGAAAATACAAGTAGGTCAGGGAGTTTCTCCCCACAGCTGCTGAACTGCAAGCCCCATGAGAGCAGGGTTTTATCTGCTTCATTCACCTCTATTTCCCAACCTAGAAAAGCACCCAGAGCCTGGTAGGTGCTCAGTAAACGCTTGCTGAGTGAATGGGTGTTGTCGAGTTGTGACTACGTGCATCTGCTTGGCAGCAGACCCTTCTCTGTTTGATGATGATGTGGGAAGAGAGTCACTGCTGGGGGTGGGAGTGAGGCCTATCAGGTACCACTGGCCTGGAGCCAGCCCTGGCTGCTGCCTCATCCCTGTGTGTGGACAAGACCCACCCGCGCTTCGGTGCTGACCTGGCTGTTTCTGAGCTTGAAGTCCCCTCTTCTTCCTGAATACCACTCCTTTCTTCTGCCCCTTGGTGATTGTGCTTCTAGACTTTGCTTAGCTTGGCAGTTGGTCTAATCAGTTTCCTGGGGTGGTGAGGCCTGACGATGTTGTGTTCTTGGCACAGGTGGCCTATCCGGATGGCAGCCCAATCATGATCCTCTCGGAAGCCTCCCTGGAAGATTTGAATACCAGGCTGGAGAAGAAAGTGAAAATGGAGAATTTCAGGCCAAATATTGTGGTGACAGGCTGCAATGCTTTTGAGGAGGTAAGTGGCCACTGCTTTTGTATGCCAAGCTCAGATGTGCTGCTCAAAGTGCCAAGGGAGCTGCTCTCTCATCTAGGAACG